TTTCCTCAGATCACAAACTTATTCAAGTCTTATCTCATTTACACACCTGTCCTCTCACCCAAATTTTTACACTACACAATAAAATAACTTTTATAATTAATTAGAGTGATATTTGAGTGACCTCCTTCCAGTTTTAGACACCAGACTGAACATTTAAACTCTCAGTAAAGACGCGTGCTTTGCAAGTTTTGTAAACATATTTTCACTTGAATTATCTGTTTTCTTATCCTGTCCATACACAGCAAATTCAAATGTTAATATTTAAGCCAGACACTTTTGATTTCCGTAAACAGCTGTTCTATTTTATTTTATGTCCCATAACTGTAGTCCTATGGCTTCAAACCTTAGCTCATAGGATGGTATATACACCAACTACAAAACTGAGTAAAATAACACATACACCTGCTTCCCAGGCTTCTGTGAGTCACCGCATAGAAACTGTGGCTGGTCTTAAACATTTAGCCAACTAACCTACATACTGAGTACACTTTACAGCAACCTACAGATTGACAGTAAAGTTCTACCCTCAATCGAATGCCCAGTGAAGCAGATCTCTATTACTTGACCCAGATGAGTATTCTCAGAGTGGGCAACCACTAGGCACTTGCAATAAGTCTTAGCGCAGCTTTGAATTAAACTCCAGTACTTTCATCATTAATAATTCTAAGGACAGTCTAAATGAACCTACGCTTAACTAAATGACTTACCCACAATTTAAAGGAAACCACACATGCCAGATCCTATTCCAAAACTTGTTTTAAGACATGCTGCCAGATTACACAACCTTAGTGAGTTCTCTTCTTTCGTAACGACGACAGAAATATTTGTTGAGGAGGAGGTATTACGTACAAAAAGTCAACTACACAGGAAAACGGCCTGTTGAGGTGAATACTCATTCTTTTTTACTGATCGAAACCCCTCGAAATAAACTTAGATTCTCTAAAGTGAGTGTAGGGAGGGCAGCTTTTCAGTGTATTAAGACCTTGAAAGTATCACAGAGCTGTTTTGAGAAGAGTATTGTGCTTGAATAATCAATACGAAAATCCATTAAATTGAGTCAAAGCCTGCGATACCTGAAACCTTCCTGGGGAAAATTACCAATGATAAAACTGTCATGTCTTGGAATATGTCTTAAAGTGGCGGTAAAGGATAGACTGAAACTCCGTCGTTTCTTGAATACTTCTTAACACCCACTGGACATGTCAAATCCCTACAGAATTGTCCTACATTAATGCCTGACACATGACTTGCAAATAATCATCACAGCAACGAAAATACATGGCCTACATGTCAAAAACGTTGACATTTACGGACC